ACACTGACCCCCTCCCAGGACCAATCTGGAATTACAACTAAATTGTGGAGAAATCACATGGAACAAACAAATGAATGATAGGGAGAGAGAAGCCTTATAACCTCGGACAGAGAGAAGAACCAGCTTTAGCACAACCTGACTGGTAAGGAGTGTGGTAGGGACTTGAGAAGATGGGCTGGGTGCCCATGGGTGGCAGTGCTAGAGGGATATTTAAACAGCCAGTTGGATCCCCCTGAGAAGAGTGAGGTCCAAACCATGAGTGGGGATCTCCAGCCTACTGCACCAGAGCCCAAAAAGAACACAGATAACAGCCAGCTGCGAAAAGTGGCAGGGTTGCTCTCTGCTAGCGATGGGCAGCTGGAGACTCAAAGAGCTGTTTAAAGGGCCAATGCATAAAATTTCATTTGCAGCCACTTACCCTGAGCCAGACTGGCAAAGGGTTGGGGCAGAGTGGCTAGAGATGCCTGAGGAGAGACAGGGGAAGGAGGCTTTTGGGAGAGAACTGAGGGAATAGCTGGTGGGATCATGGTGCTGACTCCTCCATCATATGGCAGCAGCCATCTTTCTCAGGCAGAGCACTCCACTGAGCGACAGAAGCATGAGAGGACACAATAACCCTGCCCCAAGAAGGCTCTTCCCTGGCCCTGTGGAGCTTAAGCCTGACTGCTGAGTACAGAGTGGCAGCTCCAGGTAGTAGATACCTGGCTAGAGGGGGCACAGAGTGGACTCTAGACACTTGAGGAGACTGGAGATGGAGGCTTTGTGGAGAGAACTGAGAGAGTAGCCAATGGGACCTTGGTGCTGACTCCTCCCCCATACGGCAGCAGCCATCTTGCTCAATCAGAGCACTCCCCTGATTGGCAGCAGCGTGAGAGGACACAATAGCCCCACCCCGTGGTGTCTAAGCCTGACTGCTGAGTGCAGAGTGACTAGATTCAAAACTGAAGGAGACAGCCACAGACAGTAGGTTCCTGGAAGTCTCAAACAGACTGCCTAAGGTCAGAGAGGGTCAACATCCGACATCATCAGAGGCAGATCCAGAAAGGAAAAACAGTGGTAAATACTAGAGACTACCAAGATGAAATCCACTGTGTTCTTCTCCATGATTAGTGGTATTTTCTTTACTGCATAGCTTTTTAACATTCATTTTGGGTCCATCAAGTTTGTGTATATTAAGTCATTAGATTTTATACTAATATTTTATCTCTCTCCTTTCTTATAATAGTCTTAATCTCTTTACAGCCTTATTAATGCTGGTTCATTTGCTCTTTATAGTGAGGTTATAGGGGGGAGTTATTTTTGCAGATGTGGATTTGTTTCCTGGGCTTTATGGTTTCTGGCAGCACCTGCACAAAAAACATAAGACATGGTGGGCAGAGTGACCCTCAGTCAACAAGATGGAGGGTAGGACCCACCAAAGAATGATGAAACAACAATAAATTACTTCCAGAGAGTCAACATAAATGGCATAAAAGGCATCCAAAGAGCAGCAAGTTCAGGAGATCAAAGAGACTGCACCACTGACTCTCACAGGACTCCTACCATAGAAGGACTCACATCACAAAGTCAGGAAGTCAAGACAAATCAATTTAAGAAGCAAAAGCAAAAAATAAGAGTCTCACAAAGAATGGGAAGACAAAGAAACACCCCCCAATTAAAGGGAAAGAGGGAATCCCCAGTAACAGAACTAAATGAAATAGAGGCAAGTAAGCTATCAGATATTGAGTTAAAAACAATGTTCTAAGGAAGCTCAATGAGGTCAGTGAGCTCAGAAAATATTATATTCAGCAATACATTAAAAAAATCATCCACCAGGATCAAGTCACATTCATCCCAGAGTTGCAAGGATGGTTCAATACTCAAAAATAAATAAATGTAATATACACATAAAAAAAAAGGAAAGACAAAAACCACATGATCACATTGATAGATGCAGAAAAAGTGTTTGATAAGGTACAGCACCCATTTATGATAAAAACACTCAGCAAAATAGGAATAAAGGGGCATACCTCAATGTAATAAAGGCCATATGTGAAAAACCTACAGCCAACATCATACTCAACAGGCAAAACTGTTTTCCCACTAAGATCGGGAAAAAGACAAGGATGTCCCCCTTCATCACTTCTCTTCAACATAGTATTGGAAGTCCTAGCCACAGAGATCAGACAAGAAAAAGAAATAAAAGGCATCCAAATTGGAAAGGAGGAAGTAAAACTATCATTGTTTGCAGATGACATAATAGTGTACATAAAAACCCTATAGAACCCACCAAAAAACTACTCAAGCTAATAAATGAACTTGGGAAAACAGCAGGATACAAAGTCAATATTCAGAAATCAAACACATTTTTGTACACCAACAATTAAATATCAGAAACAGAAATCAGGAAAAAAATCCCATTTCCTTTAACAACAAGAAAAATGAAGTACTTAGGAATAAACTTAACCAAAGAGGTAAAAGACCTATACACAGAAAACTATACAACACTGAAGAAAGAAATTAAGGAAGACACAAATAAATAGAAGCATATACCATGTTCATGGATTGGAAGAATTAACATCATCAAAATGTCCATACAACTCAAAGCAATTTATAGATTCAATGCAATCCCTATTAGGATACCAATGGTGTGTTTCATAGACATAGAACAAATATTTCAAAAATTAATATGGAATCGTAAAGGACCCTGAATAGCTGCAGCAATTTTGAGAAAGAAGAACAAAGCAGGAGGGATCACAGTGCCTGACATCAAACTATATTACATGGCCACTGTGATCAAAACAGCCTGGTACTGGCATAACAACAGACACATAGATCAATGAAACAGAATAAAGAGCCCAGAAATGAACCCATGTCTCTATGGTCAACTAATATTCAACAAAGAGTGCAGAAGCATAAAATGGAGTAAAAATAGCTTCTTCAACAAATGGTGTTGGGAGAGTTGGACAGCTACATGCAAAAAATTGAAATTTGACCACCAATGACACGATACACAAAAATAAACTCAAGATGGATAAAAAATTTAAATCTAAGTTGCAACACCATAAAATTCCTAGAGGAGAACATAGGCAGGAAAATCTCAGATATCCCACACAGTAATATTTTCACCAAAATGTCCCCTAGAGCAAGGATCATAAAGGAAACAAATAAACAAATGGGACTTCATCAAAATAAGAAGTCTCTGCACAGCTAAAAAAAAATCAACAGAATAAAAAAGGAACCAACTGTATGGCAAAATGTATTTTCCAATGATACTTCAGACAGCGGTTTGATCTCCAAAATATATAAAGAACTTGACAGTACTCCAGGAAGACAAACAATCAAACTATAAAATGAGCAAAAGACCTGAATAGACACTTCCCCAAGGAGGACACACAGATGGCCCATAGACATATCAAAAAATGCTCAACATCACTAGCCATCAGAGAGGTACAAATGAAAACCACAGTGAGATATCACCTCACAGCTGTCAGGATGGCCATCATTAATAAATCACACACAACAAGTGTTGGTGAGGATATGAAGAAAAGGAAACCCTAGTGCTCTGTTGGTGGGACTCAGACTGGTGCAGCCACTGTGGAAAACAGTGTGGAATTTCCTCAAAAATGGATCCACCTTTTGACCCAGAAATTCCAGTGCTGGTATTACACCCTAAGAATCCTGAAACACCAATTCAAAAGAACTTTTGCAGCCCTATGTTCAGAGCAGCTCTGTTAACAATAGCTTAGTGCTAAAAGCAGCCTAAGTGCCCATCAGCAGATGAGTGGATTAAAAAACTGTGGTACATTTACACAATGGAATTCTACACAACAGAAATAAAGAATTCCTACCTTTTGCTGCAGCATGGTTGGAACTGGGGACTTACACTAAGTGAAATAAGCCAGTTGGTGAAAGGCAAATACCATATGATCTCACTTATGAGAGGAATCTAATGAACAAAATAAACTAATGAGCAAAATAGAACCAGAGACATGGGAACATGGAACAGACTGACAGTTACTAGAGAGGAGGCAGGAACAGGTATGGTAGGAAGAAGGGGAAGGGATAAGTGAAAGAACATGTTTGAATGGCCCATGGAATGAACAACAGTGTGGTGATTGACTGTGGGACCAGGGTGATGGGCTGCGCAGAGGAGGGCAAAGGGGGGGATAATGAAGGACATCTGTAACAATGTCAAAAATAAAAAAAGTTGCTTGGCTTTTGGGCCCAAATATTTATACTTATTTCCACCTCTAACACTCTACACACATACAAGGCCCCTGTTATCTTCTAACAGGCAGTGGAAGACCTCTACTAGAGAACAGTCCTGTGTTTCATTGATCTCAATCATAATATAATTACATCAATTACATTATATATTATATACATAATTTATATAACATATAGTTAATATAAAATATGTAACAAATAGGATATCATTATTATATAAAATAATCCTATGATATATCTTATTAATCACATTTTATTTATTATATAGCATAATATAACTATAGTTATATAATGTTAGTTGCTACTATTTATTAAGTTCCTGTTATGTCAACATATTCTTTGTACTCTCTATCCCTACCACATTTTCCTAATAATGCTAACCTACTCTTCATATCTCCCTCAGCTTGGTTGTCAGTTCCATCAGAAAGTCTTTCCCACAGTCTCTTAGCCTGGGTTGGATACCCTCCGCATTCTCTGTATTTTCTCTATTGCATTTATTACACTATATTGGAATTCCCTGTTTAATTGTTAATCTTCCCAAAAAAGGGGAGAGATCATTTGTTTTGTAGCTCTTTATATTGTCAGTGATGAAGACAGTCCCTGGCACATAGTAGGCATTCGGTAAATATTTATTAAATAATTAACTAATTAATGCTAGGCACTTTATGTTCCATAATAGGGAAAAATAAGATCATAAAACTATATACCATTGCTTCCTAAATCAGTTATCTCACACTTCCTTTTTAAAACGCAGCTATAAAAAGCAAGAATTTTCAAGTGCAACTGACTGCCTGCTAGAAGAGTGCCATTCTTGGCACAGTCTCTTATGCCCTGGAAGAAGATGGCTCAGCGCTACCTATCGATCATTCTCCTTTGCCTCCAAACCTGTGAGTCTTGACCTTTGCTCGTCCCCTCCCAGTTTTCTATTGTTTTAGAGACTGCCCAAAAGGAAGACATTGAAATGCCCTTTTGATATCTTTTAACACAAACACCCTGGGACTCAAAAAGGATCCAACTTGCTGAGGACAGCCTTAAGATCCAAACCTAAATATTTCTCAGCTTTAGAGTTTGAATTTGTAACGTTTGTCTGTGTCCAGTCTCCAAAGAGCTGAGACAAACCCTTCTGCTCAGGAGAGTCAGCAATTAGTAGACCTGCCCAGAAAGCTGAGAATAAGAATAAATAATCCAAAATCTTGAGTAACTTAAAAGCAATTCTTTTGTATTATAATGTGTTATATAGTTTTTGATAGAGATATGCCTTTCTCAATTTTATTTCATTCCTCTATCAAATTGGAGTGGTGCATGACTATAATTATCATTATAAAAACTTTAGATACTATCTTTATTTTCAAAACACACTCAGAGCTATTATTCTGCTTTTATCTTCCAAAAACTCTCTAAATTAAATGGTAAGAAGTTATTATTTCTATTTTACAAATATGTTACATTAAAAAATGAAGAGCTTAAAATAAAAACTCTGTTCTTTTTACTTATGCTTAACAGTAAACTATAAAGGACGAGTGAGTATTGTTTTTGTACAAAGAAAATGATGTAACACTAACATATTTTGAGGTGGGTTTTGGTACTGCATATATTATTAATTAAATTCAAACAATTGCCTTGTTTATATAAAAAGTGACTCTTCTTGGCATTTTAAATCTACCTATATTATCTCTTACCAGCTCTAAAAGTGCACTATCAAATTCTCGACATGAGTTAGACTACAGAGAATCTAGTGGGCTAGGATTTCCTAAAAAAGGTAGAATAAATGCACTGTGGTGTCTCTGGTGCCCTTGCCCATTTAAGATTGTGGCTTTTTCGATCTGAGCTTCACGGAAATTGCAATCACTAGGCAGGCCAAGTTTTTGGAGCCTCTGCTAGTCATCCTTACATGGCAGGTATAAAATGCAAACAGATTGGAGGAAAAAGTTAGAGAGAAACCAAGCAGAAATCTAGGTGTGTCCCTAATCTCTTAGAAAAGGGTGGCATTGGCTATGCCACTTAATTTGCAACGCATTCCACAGTTCTCATGTAATTCATACTAAAACCATTGAAATAAGATAGATATTATTATGCAAAAAAGTATAAATTAGGATTCAGCTTAAACACTTCACCTGAAGTTTCACAACCTAGAACTGGTAGTGGTGAAAATAGACTTTGGTTCTGCTAATCCCAAGGCTATAGGGATTCTTTCTGCTCCACGCTGTTTCTGACCTCCTCATTCATTAAGTTTTTAAATTTTTGATGCTCTTCAAAGGGCCAGCACATGTTAAGAGGCAGTTGTATGATACACTTGCCTTGTCTCCTGACCTTGTCAAATCAGCTAATAGTGAATCATTCATCCATTAGTTTTGTGACTTTGGGAAAGTTATATAAGCTTGACCTCTTGTTTTGACTTCAAAATAGGGAAATGTTTTTATTCCAGCAGTTGATACTTGTACAGTAGAATTGTTTTGAGAATCAAAATGGTAATTCATGTATAACATTTGCCACTGGACCCAAATATAGTTAAGTGCTTAAAAATGTTAGCTAATGCTGTTGTTTTTCACACTTGTTTTCACATGGTATTAGAAAGAGCCAGGGCTTTATTGCACAGAGACCCTGAGCAAGACGTCTCTATTTGCAATGATCCAAGCATAAACAAGAGAAAAGGTGGTGGCTGTTGTGAGCTCAGGGGTGGTGCTTGGAGTTCTGGAGAAAACAAGGATGAGATATTCATTTTTGTCAGGGACCCATGAAATCAAGGGCTGGGGCTTGTTTTTATAGAAGTAGAACTGGAAGTACTTTTACATACCATTAGCCTTTCCTGAATGGATCTGTTTGCTATTTAAAAGTTATTCCACAAAATGATTATTGACTGATTGATTAGTTTAGTAAAGAACACATCAAAAAAATACTCTTGTTTACTTATAACAGAGGTAATAGCTGACTATGTGCAGGGACTGGTGCAGGGACTGTTATTAAGTAAATGCCATGGAAATAAATATTAGCTGACTTAATTTGGCAAATAGCTAGGACTCAGGGTCCACAAATATTTTTTTTTAATTTTTAAAAATATAAAAATATACATTAAAATAAAAAATAAAAATAAATTATTGTAAAAACTTATTTAAAAGTTATTCCACAAACATTTCCTGAGTGCAAAAATACACCTGAATTCCTCTTGCTCCTGTTCCCGACAAATGTTTAGCATTGGGCTATGAATCAACTGATTTTATGCACTTTCCTGGAACTCAGAGCAGTTGAAGCAGTTTAAGAAATAATGGAAGAGGAAGTTAGAAGTTCCCATTTTCTCTTGATATCACTCAAATAAGGGAAGTCTAAGTATGTAAACTCATGACTCTTCCATGTTGGAAATTTTTTCTCTAAGACCCAAGACTCACAGGCTTGTTTTCTAATCTCAACTTTCTCAATATAACTTGTGAACCCTGTGACTCTGACTGTCTCTCCAAGTATCCTACTAGCCTCCCACCCTTAAGGGAGAAGACAGACAAGTCCATCACTTTTGCTCCATGTCCATTCTCTCTATGTGTTTTCTTTCATGCAATCTTAATTTTTTCTCTACACCTTTGTTGTTTCAGTTTTTAAACCCCTCCCCCATCAATAATACTCCATGTGTGGCATTACTCTAAGTAGTCTACATTTATTATTTTATTTAATTCTCACAATATCCTATTAGATGAGTGCCATTAATATTTCAAGTTTATAGGTGAAAACATTGAGACACAGAATTCTGGTGGTCATTAAATAAAAAAATGGAAGAAGTAGGCTTTGACCTCCAACATCTTTAGACTTAATCACTGAGCTTCACCCACTGCCTTTGCCCACTCTGATGCTGAAGTGGAATAAAATATTGTCCCTACTATTGATTGCTATCACATTTTGGGACTTGTCAGTAAAGAGTGGCAATCTATTCCCAGCAAGACAGGATTATTCAGGAAGAGACTGGGCCTGTTTCTACACCCACCTGTAGAGACGGTGAAGGTTAATATATAGACATTTGCCAATAACAAAAGTTTAGGCAGGCCAGCAAGGCAGAATATCCAAGGAAGTTACCATACTTAGATATGGTTCATGTATCATTCACATCAATATGATTTGGGTTGGCTTGAATTTGCTTCTTAAAACCAAACAAGGGTTCAATATCAAAATGGTCTTGATGTCCTGTTAAATGGAAAGCAGAGTCATGACACATTCCAGGAGAGGTGAGTGGGCCCATCTGGATATCTGTCCATGGATAACTAGGCCTCAACCATCATACAGGGAGGTTAAAGATAATTTTTTGAGCCTGGAGAAGAGTTCTGGAAAAAGCCATTTGCCAGTAGTCCAAAGTCTTTCAAGATAATAATAATGACTCTGTTCTAGGAATAGATTTGACCAGACCACTACCACAAATACTCAGGATGGGCTCAAAGGCAGAAGCACAGTTACAGAAATGGATAAATATATTCCACATGAGGAAAACTAAATATTAGCTAAGTATCAAAAATCCTGTTTCCAAATTGAGACTGGGATCTGCATCCTTGTGATAACACAGTACTCCAGTAGGAGGGAGTAGAGACCCATTGCCTCAGCCTGATGGGCTGAAGCAGCCCTGGAGATGATATGGTGACTGACAAAGCAGCCAGAGGGACTTCACAACAGAAGCACGAAAGTCATCCCTCGCCACTCAGGCTACTCAAGTATTTCCTGAGTCAAACCTCTCATGTCTTGAACCTCAGAGAGGCATGAATCTGCACGTTTGAGCATAACTAGGTTCATCTGTGTGGAATCTGGAAAGGAAAAAGGTATAAGCAATCAGTTGGGTGACTGATGTTGGTAGAGCTTGTATCCATATTTTCTTTGCTATACTCAATTTTTTTTTGTATGGTAAAAGAGGGGAGTGGATAAAACAATGGTTAGCCAAGAACTTATCTCTGTGTGTTTGTATGTTTGTTTAGAAGAAGTGGATTCAAGTCAACCCAAATCTTAATTAAAATGATATAAAGTTTAAAATACAGAAGAATATACTATTGCATGGGAGTGGCAGTTTCATTCTTTAAAACCTCGTAACCAGGGACTTTCCAGCCTCATGGAGAGTGACACAAAACTAGATGCTCAATCTTTTGCTTTCTCTTTTCCTTTACTTCCCTTCACTCTGTGTGGTCCATTATAACCAACTCTCTTTTGGGCACCACAGGGCACAACTATCTCTAAATTGCCCTTCCAGGCCTGAAATGTTTATGGTGGTTCCACCATCATTCATTAATGTAGGAGGCAGTGAATGAGAGAAGAGAAGGGGAAGGTTAGCTACTGCCAAAAAGAGAGAACGAGAAATGCTTACTTGAAGGATCCTTTAAAAAAAGAAGAGAGGTTAACTAACTTTTAAGCAACATTATGCTCTACCTCATTTCAACTCCCATTAACAGCTACATGTTTACCATTTTTAACATCTTCCCAACATAACTCTTCTTTGTCCCTTAAGAGTTGCCTGGGAGTATTATTTTTAATCTCTGTAACAATGCTTTTTTTTTTTTACTTCCTATATATAACAAATACATAAAGTGCCTAGTATATGCCAGACACTCTTCTAGCAGGTTTACAAATATTAACTCATTTAAATTTCATAACACTTCTATGAGATAAGTTCTTCCATTATCTTCATTTTAAATCTGATATACTGAGGCACAGAGAGGTAGCTAACTTTCACAAGGTCTTATTGCTAGTACCTGACAGGTCCAAAATTCAAACACTGAGCAGCCTGGCTCTTTCTTATTAAGTCACAGTGCTTCACATGAGAGTAGACAGAGGGTGCTTCTCATGGCAAGACCCTTTTGGGGGTGTCTAGATTCTTCTCCCTTGGTATACACATTTGAGAGCATGCTCATTTTATTTAATCCTAACTCCT